CTGTAGGTACACCACATTGTGCAAGACTGTGGATAGCCGTATACTCAAGGTAAGGAATTCTTTAGCCAAGAGAGAGAAAATTAGCCCCTATATAATCCTTCCCCTTTAGCCAGAGTTTAAAATTTTTGTTGTAAGCTCCCTAGGAAATGGTAGACATCTATCCCACACTTTACCTCATTTTTCCTTTCCCACAAGATTTGGGACATTTCCATTAAGAAGAGTTAGACTGAGATGGGAGCAAAAGAGAGGGGAAAAAGAGGCATCTCCTTAGATAAAAGATAACATCAGAACGTAGATTCAAATTGTGCTCATAGAACCCAACCCTGGAAAAAAAAATACTGCAAAAAAAACAAACATGCCTACATCAAGGAAAGCAAAGAAACAGCACTCTGGTAGCCCAGAGCATACACAAAGGTAAATTACAACTGCCTGTAGTTAGATGGCTGGACAAGATGCAGCAATTAGAGCTCACCATGAGCTGTCAGGACAATTCAAGACCACACCACAACAGCTGCCTTGAGAAAACAGATAGGAAACAGGGAAGAGAAAAAAATAGAGACATTAGGGAAAAAAAAAAAAAAAAGGATACTGAGGGTCTGTGATGCTGTGGAGTGTTGAATGCAGGTTGTGGTCAAAGAGTTAACAAGGGGAGGAGGAAAAGGAGGGAAACGAAAAAAAAGAAAAATGAAAACGGAAATCAAGCATTCAATTGTGTTCACAGTTGTATCAGGTTTGGCAAGGCAACAGCTGTGCTCTACCCTCCATTACACAGTTTCCTGCATATGCAACTCCCAAGAATCTAACCAGTTGCCTTTTTTGGCCATAATCAAGCAGGACACAGAGTCAGGATGCTTCAGCTAAGTTCAGTTTCATCATTTCCTGAGAAATCCTGAGGAATTCTAAGTAACCAGCCTTCTGAAGCGTCCTACATTAAACTGAAACATATTCCTGACTTTCTTACTGCTTGTAGAGTACATGTATTCAATACCCCTTGCACATTTGTTCTGGGATAAAGACTAATTGTTGTGGGATGAGAGATATATTAAACCACAAGAAAACTTCCAAGAGGTATCTTCAGCCAGTGATAGATCCTAATAGGATGAGAGAAGGAGGTAACTAGGGAGACTGAACAAAGCACACACAGGAGGAGAATCCCTCAGGAAGAGAACCCCCTCAGTTACCACATCTTCACTAAGGCTTCATTCTTCAGCCTTTAAGGAATGATTGTATGGTATCTACCTCTTTTTATTCCCAAAATCAGACTTAAAAACCATTCCAGACAGAGGATAAAAGGTCTAACATGGCTGTTCTAAAATAATCTCAGAAAATTCTTAAGGTTTTTATACCGGGAGTATAACTAGTGAGGACATTAAAAAGATGGCTTGCACATCAGATTTTAAACAGACTTGAGCAGTATCCTACTGTTTAACTGCACCAACTAGCTTGATTCCCACCAGCACGAACAACTTTGCCTATGCTCCAGGAAAAGTAGAATCCACAGATATCAGAGCTAAGAAACTGGAGGATCACACCAAGGTAACGTGGTATCCCTGCTGTTCGCAAGGCTGACTTGTATCCCGCAGGGCCTCTAAACTAGCAAGGCCACAAACCCAACTATTCATTTGCTTTGTCAGCAAGAAGAGTACCAAGAGAAATCAGATTCAGCAACTTCCATCTAACGGACTTCAAATTTATCTTGCATTCTTATTCTGTTTCACAGGACATTTCTAGAAATCCCTTAAGTAGTCAAGTCAGTCAGTCTTGCAGCTTTACAGCAACTTTTTTTCCCGAATGTAAGCAAGCCATTATCATTTCAGGAACAAATTAGGAAGCAATTTGTTTGCCTCGTGGTTTGCATTTTGGGTGTAGATAATTATGTGGGGCAAGGACATTTATCTTCTTATGAATATTGTGCAACTGCCAGATGAGAATTGAGAATACCATTAACAAAATTATTTTTGATACAATACTAGTCTACAAGTAAAGGGGGGGGGGGGGACCCACCACATTCACCCATCCACCCAGAAAAGGCAGACAGACCATCTTTTTTTTTGGAGTTTAAATGTCTTCTTCCTAGTATTGTTTCCAAAAATGAAATACTGTAGTCACTTCCCTATTAACCCACTATGTCCTCTTATTAATAGTTGTCTGAAGAATAGGCTAGTCAAATCTCACTTGTTTTTCACTTTCCAGGTGCCAAAAACAGTCATCCTCCTCCATATAACTAGCTACATAGGTGCCACCAAGATTTCATGCAGTTACAGATGGGAGGAAAAGAAGCTGTAAAAAAAAAAAAAAAAAAAAAAAAAAGCCTTGCCCTGCTTAAAAAAAAGCTGCCTCTGCTAAGGCCTTTTCCTCTGGATTACAGTGTTTACAACTGCTACAAGTATAGAACATTATCTCTTTGTAATTTAATTTTCCAGAACTATTTGTATTATCCCCCCTCCCCACTGTTTACTCTCTCAGCAGCCACAGTTCCTGGGACTGCGCCACTGCTCAGTAAGATGAGCTTGGCTTATCTTAAACTGCCAAGGTAATGGTTGAAGCAGAACCAGAATCAATATACTCAAGAGCATTAATGGTAGCAGTTTTAGCACAACGTTTAGTAAGAAGTAAACAACACTGTTTACTAGTAGTCTAGTTACTAATAGTAACAAGTAAAGGGCAATGAGAGGCCTTTTCGTAAGAATAAACCAAACTGTCATTTAACTACATTTTAGGCTTTAGACTCATTTCTAGCAAAGAGACATTACTACATTGGGATAGGTGGCTTTAATTCCAAGGCATTTCCCTACTTTAATGAATTACATTGAGAAGATCTTATCATGTTTATGAAACACAAAGGCTATGGAGAACACAGAATAACCAGACAAATGCACCACAGACCAATGCCAATTCAGACCATTATTTTACAACTTAACTATGTAAGACTTTGAGCTCACGTGAAAAGGGATATATGTGGGTGATCAGCATTCTTCTGCTGCATGTTTAGAAGTAACTTTAGATAGAACTTTCTGGAAATTCCCATTAAGTGATTCCACATACAAGACCTGTCTAGCAGCCTTTATGCTAGCGCTGCAAAAAGGCTACGCCAAAGATCAGGGTGAGAAAAAGAATGAACAGTAAATAGTGCTGCAAACACATTTAGACTAAAGTTAATTCCCTTTGTCTATAGAGATCACATTTCTCAGGCATTTCAGGGACACAGTTCACATGCTCTTTTCAAAACTGGCTTACCTTCAGCAGGTGGTCTACATGAAAATCCTTTCTAGAGTAAAAAGGATTTTTACTTTGGACCTTGAGAAGAGGCTAGCTTAAATGGTATGTTTGAGAAGGATTCCTGGCATATGAACAGTACTGATCAAACTCTAATTTGAACAGATAATATTGGCCTTATTTTTGCAAACTCTGCTATTGTACTTTCCCCAAACAGTTGAAGAGAGTTCACCAAAACAACAGAAACAGTTGCACTTAAGAGCAACTGAAAAGTACAATGAGAAGCCCACTCAAGTGGCCAGACCAGCTACAGTAATCATGAACTGACAACACTTAAAGCAAAGATGAATTCACTAACAAACTCTTCAGGTCTCATCTAGTTAGGAGAGATTAGGCTCCTGCTTCACAGCTGCATATGCCCAGAGACTAATAGGAAGGAAAGCTACAAAGTTTACTAATGTAGATTTAATTTGTAAGTAATGCCTATATGAAAACTGAAGTCTGAAGCATTAAGGCTGAGAAACAAATATGTGGGCGAAGACAGGAAGGAAAAGGCAAAAGCTGTCCGGAAGCTAAGACAGTTGAACTGGTTATATTTACCCGTTTCTGAAGCTCAGTGGACTGTGACATACAGTGCCTGATGCTTCAGACAAAGCTAAA